TTCTCGAGTAAACATTGAATTAAAAAGCCAATTTTGTCTAATCTTAAAAGTAGTTTGTGTGAAGAGTTTCTTTCATACAATTTTTCGGGTAGGGGCGAAGCCCATCCCCCGCGTAAGAACGCCTAAGCCCCCCCCCCCCCGCCCCCCCCCCCCCCCCAACTCAAAAGAAATGTCGTCATCGATACTCTACAATAAAATTACAGCCTAATTCATGTGTCTAATGTAAAAAGTGGTTCGCTTGCAGAGTTTCTTTCATGCATCTCTTCGGGTAGGGGCGAAGCCCATTTAACACCCCCCCCCCCCTGGTAGAACGTCTAATCCCTCCCCCTAAAATTCTTTGGGTAGTGGCTAAGCGCGACTTCAGTGTTTCTTTCAGACTTTTTCCTCCCGGAGGGGGGAACTTTTTCTAATCTAAAAAGTGCAGTTTTTTTTTCATGCATCTCTTCCGATAGGGGCGAAGCCCCGCCCAGATTCTTCCTTTGGTTTGTATGATCTACAAATGCGACCAGTGTTTCTTTCAGACTTTTTCCTCCCTGGAGAGGGGTGGGGGTACTTGAAATTTTCAGGGGCGGGGTTAGAATTTTCTGGGAGGGGGCGGACACTGGAAAAAAATATAATTATATTTCGTTGAATGGGATGGTAGACATGTTTGGGGGGGGGGGGGGGGGGGCAGAGCTCCCTCCTCCCAAGTAGAGTTGCCTGAAAGAACTCTAAATGCGACTTTTGACATGAATGAGATTAGGTGCATGGTTTAGGGATATGCCTATGACTATATTTTGTATAAATTAAAGTACCGAGAAAATAGACAGCACTATCAACCTAGTGCCCGTTGTATCCTTCCTCAACGGGCCATTTTCCCAGGTGTCCTCCCCCAGAAAGAGCCTTTCCAGCATTCTCAATATTATAATTCTAAAATTTCACTATCTGTTAACACCAAAAAACAAAAACAAAAAATAGTGATTTTGAGAGATCATACATAGACTAATTAGAAAATAATATAAATAATCTAAAGATTTTTCTATTTTACTTATGAACCTTAACATATAATAATCAATGCTGTAGTAATAAAAAAATTAACTTAAATTATTGAGAGTGAGTTGAATATTAAAAGCACGTTTTCCCAAGCACGTTTTCCCATACGTCCGCGCCCAGAGAGAGCCTTTCCAGCATTCTCTAAAAGTCTAATTTAGCAATCTGTTTTAATAACACAGAAAAACAAAAACAAAAAATAGTGATTTCGAGAAATCATAGACTAATTTGAAAATAATATAAATAATCTTAATATTTTTCTATTTTAATTATGAAACTTAACATATAATAATCAATGCGTTAGTTAAAAAATAAACTGATGAGTTAAATTTATTTTTAAATTACCTCCCTTGCAAAAATTACCAAAAAAAGTTGAATTAATTAGTTTTTTCGACCTACTGTTATGAAAATGTCTCCACCTTTTCTGGAATATAAACAAAAATTATATTTTACATTGATCCCTTTAATATGTTTTAGCAAAGTGCGTGTATTTAATATTTTCTTTACGTTATGCAAAAGAGTAAAAACCGTGGCATTTATAAAATAGCTTTATGTCGTTATATAAACAAACCCTTCTCTTACTTATAAGACACTGTGATGCACTGAAAAGCAATGCAGGGTGTGATGTTTGGTGTGACATTTACTTTTATGGTTCTAAAATCTATAGCAATGACAGACTGACACACTACCTCGCCCCTTATATTATAGATAACTAGGCATACTGCCTAGCTTCGCTTAGGTTTTTAAAAGGCATTTGAGAATTTGAATACTTAATTATTTAGCGATGGATTGGGCGTGGAGTGCTTTAATAAGTTTAATAAGTTTAATTTAAACAGTAATGCTAACTTTAGAAAAAATGTTTTTGTTAGTCATTGACATGCAGATACATGGGGAATTTTTGGAAAGTACGCAATCTATAACTAAAATGGAATTAGAACTACACAGGTTACATGAACTGTATATCTCATAGTTTATATTACATTGCCTTTTGAAATTAATTAATTTATTTAATTAGCATACTTAACTAAATTAACAACTTAATTTTGTACTAAAACAAATGCTATACTTCGTCATTTTCTGTTTCTGTTTAAAATAGTATACAATTATTTGAAAAATAATAATTTTAAAAAACTGAACGTATGACGTATGTCATTGTTTACTTATATTGTTTGCTTATATAAGAAATTACGTTATATGAACATATTTAACGACTATAATGGCTGTTTCCGACGGGAATAAAGTTTTTTTGTTACCCTCCATGGTCGGTCTACGACGTCACATAATATTAAGGGGATCGTTCGTCAATTTATTTATATATATATATCTATATATATATATATATCTCATATAAGGAGAATTTTACTCAAAATCATCTTTTAGCCCTCGTCGAGGGCTTTGAGTCTGACCAACAGTTTTTCCATACGGCCTAGTCATCTATAGTAGTGTATGCAAAAACTTAGCATGATGTACAGACATTAAGTAACCTAAAAATTGTGTTAAATTTTCCCTGTTTTTCCCATAAAATACAAAGATTATATAGGGAAATACAACTGGTCAGTTTTGACCGCTTTACAAAGTTTTCCCAGAATTGCCGAGTTTTTTATGAAACCCCTAGGTGTTCTTCTACCACCTCACAAAATATCAAGGGGGGTCGTCGGAGGAAATTTTTTTTCGTAATAGAGCTCATATAAAGAGAATTTCACTCGCGGTCACTTTTTAGCCCTCGTCGAGGGCTTTGAGTGTAACCGACAGTTTTCCCTAAAGGTCAAGCCATTGACCTAGGAGCATGCAAAAAATTAGCCAGATATACTGAGCTTAAGTACCCTAAAGTCTGCGTTGAAATGACCCTCTGTTTTTCCCATAAAATACAAAGATTATATAGGGAAATACAACTGGTCAGTTTTGACCGCTTTACGAAGTTTTCCCAGATATGCCGAGTTTTTTGTGACACTCCTAGGTGTTCTTCTACCACCTCACAAAATATCAAGGGGGGTCGTCGGAGGAAATTTTTTTTCGTAATAGAGCTCATATAAAGAGAATTTCACTCGCGGTCACTTTTTAGCCCTCTTCGAGGGCTTTGAGTGTAACCGACAGTTTTCCCTAAAGGTCAAGCCATTGACCTAAGAGCATGCAAAAAATTAGCCAGATATACTGAGCTTAAGTACTTAAAGTCTGCGTTGAAATGACCCTCTGTTTTTCCCATAAAATACAAAGATTATATAGGGAAATACAACTGGTCAGTTTTGACCCCTTTACGAAGTTTTCCCAGATATGCCGAGTTTTTTGTGACACCCTAAGGCGTTCTGCTACCACCTCACAAAATATCAAGGGGGGTCGTCGGAGGAAATTTTTTTTTGTAATAGAGCTCATATAAAGAGAATTTCACTCGCGGTCACTTTTTAGCCCTCGTCGAGGGCTTTGAGTGAGACCGACAGGTCTGCCCTACGGTCAAGCCATTTTCCTATAAACATGCCAAAAATTAGCCAGATGTAAAGAGGGTAAGTGCCCTAAAATCCGTTTTGAAATGACCCTCTGTTTTTCCCATAAAATACAAAGATTATATAGGGAAATACGACTGGTCAGTTTTGACCCATTTCCCGATTTTTCCCGGACATGGCGAGTTTTTTGTGACACCCCAAGGCGTTCTCCTACCACCTCTTAAAATATCAAGGGGGGTCGTCGGAGGAAATTTTTTTTCGTAATAGAGCTCATATAAAGAGAATTTCACTCGCGGTCACTTTTTAGCCCTCGTCGAGGGCTTTGAGTAAGACCGACAGGTCTGCCCTACGGTCAAGCCATTTACCTATAAACATGCCAAAAATTAGCCAGATGTAAACAGGGTAAGTGCCCTAAAATCCGTTTTGAAATGACCCTCTGTTTTTCCCATAAAATACAAAGATTATATAGGGAAATACGACTGGTCAGTTTTGACCCGTTTCCCGATTTTTCCCGGACATGGCGAGTTTTTTGTGACACCCCAAGGTGTTCTCCTACCACCTCACAAAATTTCAAGGGGGGTCGTCGGAGGAAATTTTTTTTCGTAATAGAGCTCATTTAAAGAGAATTTCACTCGCGGTCACTTTTTAGCCCTCGTCGAGTGCTTTGAGCCAAACCGACAGGTCCGCCCTACGGCCAAGCCAATTACCTATAAGCATGCCAAAACTTAGCCAGATGTAAATAGGGTAAGTGCCCTAAAATCCGTTCTGAAATGACCCTCTGTTTTCCCCATAAAATACAAAGATTATATAGGGAAATACGACTGGTCAGTTTTGACCCAATTCCCGATTTTTCCCGGACATGGCGAGTTTTTTGTGACACCCCAAGGTGTTCTCCTACCACCTCACAAAATTTCAAGTGGGGTCGTCGGAGGAATTTTTTTTTCGTAATATAGCCCATATAAGGCGCCGGTCAGTCGAGGTCAGTTTTGACCCCTTCTCCGTAGACTTTTCGGCCAACCGTCACCGGCCTTCGTGTTCTATTGCCCGAAGGCACCATCGTGCCAAATTTGACGCGCCTGCGGCGCCGGGAAGTGCCCTATCGGGCACCTGACCACTTTGCTTTATATATATAGATAATAATATATATATGCACATATATCTATATATAAATGCATATATATTTATATATATATATAATATATATATATACATAGGCCAAAAGTTTGTATGTCCTTAAATAGATAGGTATTTATTTATATATCAACAGCCAGATATTGTGAAATTGAGCCTGAATCCTTCAGCTATGTGGCAGCAATTTCTATCTGCCATGGTGCCTGAGATTACTAAAGTAGTAAAATTTTGCAAAAAACTGCCAGGCTTTTCAGAAGTTGAGCAAGAAGATCAGATAAAACTAATTAAACAAGGCAGTTTTGAGGTGATGGTTGCTCGTTATTCACTTCTTGTAGATGAGATCAATGAAGAGATGCTTGACCCACAGCTAAAAATTAAATCTTCAAGGTAAGTTTCATACAGAGTAATTTAAAATTTCACATAAAATACAGAGATAGATGATTTTGTTAGTTCTACTTATTTGGTCTTCAAACTTTTTAAAATAATTTTTGCTTGAGATGTGTATTTTTTTTTTTTTAAATCTTTTTTATAAACAGTAATTCAGTAAATTGTAATAGAAAATTTTTAATTGGTTTAGAAAAAATAAATACTGGAGAAAAAAAAAATATTTTTTGTGTGCCTTATTTAGAGAAGTTGTTAGGCAGATGCCCATGGGACCTTTTCTTGATGAATTCTTTGAGGTTGCTCAACAGATGAATCCTCTCCTTTTATCTGATGGCGAAATCGGCCTCTTTACTGCTGTACTTATGATCTGTCCAGGTATATAGCTTTCTTTTTTTAGACTAATAAGCACCACTGAACTTATGAGTGGTGTGATAAAAAAGTAAATTAATAATTATGCCATTAAAGTAACATTTAAAGAAGATGTCTGTAGTCTAAAAAAATGTCATAAAAACATTTTAATAACAAGCTTTTATGTAATAATGCACTAAAAAGGAGAAAATAAATTATAGACTACTATTTAAATAACTATAAAGAAAAGCGTGGACCACTTTAGTATCTATTGGATACCTTTACTAATATTTAGGAAGAGACTCATGCTTTTCTTTATAGTTATTCAAATAATAGTCTATAATTTATGTTCTCCTTTTTAAGCTTGTTATTAAAACATTTTTTTATGAATTTTTTTTTAGTACTTTACATTTTTTATTTACAATAGTATTACATGACTAAAAACCATTGCGCACCTATTGAACGTGATAATGCCCTATTGAATGTGATGATGCGTGTCTAATAGCGCGGAGTAGTTGGATAAGACAGCCCACTAATTTGGTCAAAATTTTTATTAATTCATAAAAAATTAATTAGGAAACCAATTAAGTCAAATTTAATGTCATGATGCCTTGTCTTCATGTCTTGACCCACATACCAACTACAAACCGTATCTGTCAGTTAGAAGTGCCTGCAATTTCGCTCGGGCATTTTGATCTAGACAGACAGACTGACGAGGAAGTGAGTTAAATAAAAGCTTGTAAAAAAGTGTTTATTCATCTAGAATCCTTGGGATTTGGGGCTTGTTAATAAAATTAAGTCTGAAATCAGGTTTTGATACACATTAATGATGTGAGTCAACTATTAATTAGTTATATGACCTATTAGAGGTTTTTAAAGGTGTCAAACATTTCTTTTTCCCAACCTCTGTTCTCCTCCTCATACATGGCTATTATTAGTGATGTGGAGGGGGTGAGGGAGGGTAAACTTGGCTGAATATGAGTTCAGAGTATCTCTTGTAAGGTTACGTCTTACAAATTAAAAAAAAAATTTCAGATCGAAAAGACTTAAAAAACAGAGAGGCTATTCAAACAATACAACAACTTTATTTACAAGCCCTTTATTATCTGCTACAGCATAATCATAAAGGTATGTTTATTTTTGTTTGGACAATTTCATTATAACAATTTGGTTAATGCTTCACTTTCAACCCATTGTACACATGTGTAAATACTCAGGTGTATTTCTGTTACTGCTCAAATTAGACCTTTGTTCCTCAATAATTGCACATTAGAGCCAAAAGTGCATTTGCTTTGTTTGAGACATTGTGAATGATAGTTTTTTGTTAAAAAAGTATATTTAGTAGCGTCTCCCAAATTGCCTTGGTTTTTTATTTAAAGCATTTTGTCATATATGAATACTATTGTAACTGTGTTAGGCCTTAATAACAATATATTTTATGAATGAGTGGGGTTTAGTTTTGCTTTTCACTTACTGCCTAAACTCTGTTAACTTATTATTCTTGTTTTACTTTTCGATTCATGTTTTAATTTATTTTGTTTTATTAACTGCTACTTCTTGCGTTATTGTAAGTGATCACTATCTTTTAATTATTTTTTTTTCCACATTAACCTACACCTTGAAAAAACCAAAACTATACTAAAATAACTATACTATACTTCAAAAACCATCCTAATTTCAGATCCCGATACAACATTTGTTTCACTGATACAGTTGATTCCATTATTACAAAGAATCAATGAGGATCATGCTAAATTTCTTAACAATATAAAAATGAAGTCACCAACTGAATTTAACCAACAGTTTGCCCAGTTACATAGAGAGGTATTTGATTATTAAGACATGATATATTTTGTTACCTATGGTTAGTTGATAATTTTTTTAAAGGTAGAGGCATTATATATTTAAAACATTTTTTAAAATTTGAGAAAATATTCATATAAATGGAAAAAAAATATCAGCATGCAGTAATGCATTAGACAGTGCCCAAATTTGACTATTCAGTTCTTAATAAGCAGATATTTTTATTTTATATCTATCATCAAGTCATAAAATAGCCCACACCCCTTCTCCCCCTATTAATAATAATTCTTATAAAAATTGAATCAAAAGTAAAAGCTTCATCACACTTAAATACCCTTCTCCCATTATCACAAAAGCCTGGCCACCTCCCCTACCCCCACCTACTCCATCAGTGACATTGATGACATCAGACCAAAAAAAATATTTAAAATGTTGTTTGAGTTATTATATTCTGAGTTGAATGATAATTGTGTGTGTTTGAATGTATGAAAGTGCCTTTCTGATTAAGCCAACCAAGTTTAATCTATAAAACCTAAACCATTCATTTTATTGGTGCATTGTGATGAAACAGTTTTATTTTGTTAGGTTACTTATTTTCTCTGCAACTTCTTTTAAATAATAATCCTATTGGTTTTAACACTTTTTAAAAGAGCCATACAGTTTTATTATATTTTAATATTGCATTTTTTAATATGTATAATTGTTTAATTGTATATATTATATATATATGTACATATATATATATATATGTAAATATATATATGTATATATGTAAATATATATATATGTATATATGTAAATATATATATGTATATATAAATATGTATATATATATGTATATATATATATGTATATATATATATGTATATATATATATGTATATATATATATGTATATATATATGTATATATATATATGTATATATATATGTATATATATATGTATATATATATGTATATATATATATGTATATGTATATGTATATAAATATGTATATGTATATATATGTATATATATATGTATATATATATGGAATCCAAGTATGGGGTGCCCCGTTGACAAATTAAAATTGTGTGAAATAAGGACCACCCTAATATTTAAATTTATTAGTGGTCTCTAGGCACACGGTAACTCACAGAATAAGAGTTTTTGTTTGCATAAATTGAAAGATAGTATGATTGTGTTTAGAGCTAGTATGATTGTGCTTAGTTGTAAAAAAAAAAAAAAAAAAAATCCATGTAATATGATGTATGTCTTTTATCTTGCTAAAAATTAAAAATGATAAATGACTATTTATAAATGAAACAGAAATAAGCAGAGACACACACAGTTCTCATTATATTGATTTTACTCAACTTTGTGGATACTTGTGCTACACAGGTCTCCATAATACAAACCACTGCACCTTATCATGGTCCCACACTGTGAGCCCTATGATGTGTCTAGCTCTTATATTGACAAATTGGGGGAAAGTATGACAAAGTTGAAAAGGCGCTATTAAACGATTAATTTAGTGTTAAGTTAAGAAAACAATAAGATATCGACCTACTGTAATTTGGTTGCCTCAATTTATTGGGGCCAATGATTTTTAAATTTACCTTTCTATAAAACAAAATGTCAACCAGACTTATACAGGAAGTAGCCTTATTTGTCATAGTTTGAGTCTGACATAAATCAGCTTAGTTCCTTAAGTGACCATTCTAACTGATATGTAAATCAGGGTACTTATCTAGAAATGTGTCGTCAATGTAAAATAATAATTTGTAAAGGTACCAGCCTGAATTAGTAAAATGCTCTGACACCAGAGTCGAAGACTAACACATCAAATTACTAGCGTATCAGTCTGAAAAATATAGGGCCAGACTGATAAGTCAAGGTATAATCTGAAATCATTTAAGCAGCTTGGCTTATTCAGGGTCCTCTCTGACTTTATCAAAATACCAAATACTATTCTTTTTCCTGTTCTAGTCTCACTTAAAGAGACCAACCTGACAGAGTAATTGTCTAACGTCAAGATACCTGTCTTATAGTACTAATTTGGTTTAAATAAACCAGTCAGTCTTATCAAGGTACTACTCAGACTGTTTAAGTTAGATCCTAATAGCTTATAAAAATACCAGTCTAACATCAAGGTGTCTCTTATAAATTAAGCTTATCAAAACACTAGTTTTACTTTAAAAGGTCATTATGTCCTATTCAGGAACTTTAGGCATACTGACTTGTCAAATATCCATCTTGAAATACTTACCTCAAGTCTAATTTATCAAAATTCCAGCTTTATATATCCATATTACAGTTACACTTTTATAACTTCTAACCTGTCTTATTGTTTGGCTAATTAATGTACTGTCTGACATTTAAAAAAGTCCACCTTCATTAGTTACAGTTTTAATCAGAATTTAATTTTTAGCTTGATATTAATGTATAAACAGTTATACTTGTTAGCTGGTCTGCATGACGCATCAGTATATTAGTTTAAAAATCAAATAACCAGCATGTCTTATTAAAGAAACCATTCTGCCAGACATCTCAATGTGCAAGTCATAATTATCAGTGACCCTGATGTATCATGTAACCTGCTTAGTTTATCAAAATAACAGATTGACATCAAGGTATATGTTTTAAATGAAGGGGTCAGTCAAAACTTTACATGACACTGGTCTGATTTATCAGGGAACTAGTCTGATTTATTATAGAAGTTACAAGATTACAAGTATGACTATAGACTTCAAATATATATAAAGGATCAGTTTGACTCTTCAAATGGCTATTTCACTAACATATAATGCTCAATATGTAATAATTCCACATAAAAACTCATATTTATAACAGTTCACTGTAACAATGTCAGTGTTTTCTTAACCACTAGATAGTCTGTCTAAAGTCAACTCAACAAAAAATAACCATTAATAAAATTAAGGATTTAAACTTTGTCCTAAAATGAATAAATATTCACCAATTTACAAAAAAGTCATTTACAAATTGAACTGTTTCAATATGAGGTATAAAAAAAAAACTTTTATCTTTAAAATAGCAATCTATCACTTCACAAAACACACAAGGCCGTTGAGACAAAAATTATCTGTACCAAAAGTCAGTTTGGTTCTTGCAAAATGGCTAACTTAAAACTCACTACATTTTTACTAAAATTATAAAACTAAATTTGAAAATGCCATAGTATAATCATCAGTTTTCACATATATTAGTTCCAAAAAATTTGAGTGACAACAATTAAGAATAAAATTATTTGATCTCTCCTATAAAATTTACATTTTCTGAAGATAGTTGGTTTGCGCCCTAGGCCATCAATATGGATGATGAATAATGTACATTTTATATCATGACAATTTTCATTATACATTTAAGAAAAAACACCAAACCTTTTTTAACGTTCTAGCAAGAGAATAAGATAACATTCTTGTAAAGAATTTTATTTTGTATCCAAGAGTCATCTGCAGATTTGCTTGCCATCATCAAAAAACATTGTTCGATAAGTAAAAATTATATATAATTATAATACCAGACGCTATTATACAAATGAACTGTTTTTATTTTAAAGATCATTGGTTTTTATAAATGCTAACACTATATTAAAGTATGTTAGCCCAAATTTATAACATAAACAATTGTTAGTGGTGTATGGCAGCATGATACTCACATATTGCTATAACAGTGTCTTAAGAGTATGATTCTTTAGAAGAAAATGTATTACATACATTGAGTGTTAACAGTGTATGTACCTGTTGGCCATGTGATTCACCTCCAGATTATGGCTGATTATAGAACAGCTGTTCTTGCTATTTACTGAAATGCCATCCAAAATGAAGTCTCTTAAACCCTAAAAGTTTTTTAAATTTACAATTCAAGTGCTTATCATACATTAAACATTGTTAAATAGAAATTAGGTACCAGGAATGAATTTTCATTACTTTGGTTATCATACTGTCACCTCAAAATTTTTAATGCATTATCCTTTCTGTAATTTATGGGTTAGTTTGCCAACTTGATTTGGTTTGACTTTTGTAACTTTTTTTGGGTGTTTTTGTTCACTGCTTGTTTAATTAATATTTTTAATAGGGTTGAAAAACTAGAATTGATTCAAGGAATGGTTATATGATACATGTTAAAAATAACAAATTCAGTTTGATATCAGTAATTTTACCTACAATATAAGTTTTTCCTCTTATTGTATTCATTTTTTTTTTCATAGATCTCAGGCAGTTTAAGGCTATAAAAGTGTCAATAAAAATAACAAGGTCTAGCTTTAGAAAAACTAACATACTTTTAAAAACTCATTGAACAGTATTTTCTTGCCACTACAACAGTACAGCTCAGGTTTTCAGAGAAAACACTTTGTTTTAGCTCACGTTTTATGTGTTTAAAAGGCATTATATATTTTTTAAATTTTACTCAACAAGATAATCTTTTGTTTGCTTCTAAATTTTTTAGTTGTATCAAAAGTTTGGTGAAGCATTTTGGTGTAATCTGGAGTTTAGATAAAAAAAAATTCTTTTAGTCGTAGCAAAATCTAGGCAGGAAGTTGATGTTGTTAATGCTGAAGCATTTGCTAATCTTCCTGAATTGTTGTATAACTAGAAACAATTAAATTACTAACACTTTATTACATCACACACATTAACATGCCTATAAACTAGTATCTATTGAAATTTGTATTTTCTCTTTGGCCAGCAACCCTTTTAAAACCTAGGTTTAGAACCCATGACTTTAGGTTAAATGCCATTCAATATTTAATCTTTATTTCTTGCAATGTCCATGGTTTAGACTTCTTGTCAGCATAAAAATGTACTATTTTCAGTTTATAATTATTGTATAACATCTTTTACTTGGAAATTATTATTGCTTCTAAAAAAAATTAATTTTGGAGTTGAGAATGGATGGATATTGAAAGAATAGAATGTATGTAAGCTTATAAATGTGAAAAAGGTATATTTTATCAATTCTATGTGAATTTTGATTGCTATTTTTAAACATGTTCACACTAGGTATATTATGTTAATCCAATTTTTTTCATCTCTGGTAATGTTTTATCATTTATTATATTGCAATTTATTATTTGTATAGTTTCAAAGAAATGGATTCTTTGTAAATCAGTTAAAATACTAATTTTACTATTTTTGGCTGTGAAATAAATTTTCACATTACTTTGTAATTAGTTTCTCAAACTTTTACAGAAATTAAATCTCCTTAATTGTATACAAATATTTTTAAATTCTTATTTACATTTTTTTTAATGTAAACAGTTGACTGTCAATCTTTACTTTGAATAGTATCCTTTTTGTAAAAGTATGAAAATTTCTGTTTTAAAAAATTGACATGTATTACTTTTGCCTTAAACATTATTTTTTATAATAAAAGAATATCATTTAATTTTGACTTACAATGGCTATTAAAATGTTTCTTTTTTAATTTTATTCATGTAAATAGTTTGTGATAATTAAAGAAATTATTCTTATGAATACCTAGGCTTGCCCATTCTTATATTAAATTTTAAATGAGCTTCCATAATTACATTTTAGTGCTTTTTTTACAATTTAATAGGCTAATTTTAAGGAGTCAAATTATATAACTGCAGGAATTTTTAGGAAATCACAGGCTCAATGCCAATAAATATAATTGCTACTCTTTGTTTATGATATTCAAATTTCCGTCCTAAGAAAATTGTGCTAACAACTGTGTTTAGTAGTTAAATAACTTTTAAGTTAAAACTATAAAACACCATGGACAAAAAAGCTGTGCTCGCAACCATGATTCAA